TGTTAGAATCATCTGATTGGTCTAAATAATGTTTAGGAGTTGGGCTTGTGAGCGTGCTCTGTCTGGCAGAGAAGCCTTTTCACTCAAGCCTTAACGTGTTCCCTTAACTTGCCTGAAGTTAATCTCCAGGATGGTTCCCTGAAAATAGATTCCTAGGCCTCAATCCAGACCTGATGAATTGTGATTTTCAGCCCTCGTGCAGTGTGGGAGTAATCACAAGAATAGCTGGGACCCTGTTCCCTTTGATCCCTGCAGTAGCACACTCTGCCTGCCTGTTGTAGAATCTGGAACTCAGCCTATTTACATACAACACATGGTTACCTCTGAAAAATCCTTTGATAGTATCTGGTTTATTACTGATGAAAGAACTTGGTAGTTTACTGAGCTAAACAATCGGTTACAGCAATAACTGATATTGCTGTGGAAAATTATGAAAAAAACATTGAGGTGTGATGAATCCACCAATGAGCAGAGTCCCTCCATGATCCGGTCATGATCCTCTACCTTCCAAACCCAGGAGACCTCGGGGGGCACATTCCATACCTAAATGGTGACACGTGCAGAAGAAACTGGTCCCTGCTAATGCCTTGCCCGGGGCACGTGTTGCCAGGGAGTGCAGTGTGGTTCTGCGCAGCTCTGGCCGAGGCCTGCTGCCGCATGGGCACTGCCACCACAGCAGTGAGGAACACCGTAGTTCCTGCTCCCTCACCACAGGCTCACACCACTGACTGGGCGAAGACAGGTTCTTTAAGCCTTCACCACTGCAGGGGTTGTCAGGCAAGGTCCAGAGGCCCAGAGTCACAGCAGAGTCAGCAGCGTCACTTCCATTGTAGGTGTAACCACACAGTGAGCTCCCCATGCCCACTGCTGTCTGCACCATATCTGCCTGGACTACCAGAGTCCTGACTCTGGCCTGCAGAGATGCTGGGTCTCTCGCTCCACCACCATATGCACCGTGCTGAGTCTCGTCACAGCCGGAGAAGCTGAGGAGACTGCGTAACATGCCTTCTTGGAAATAGAGTCAGCCCTGCCCAACAGACCAGCACCCTGAGACATCTTCACGGCAAGGCTGTTTGCTGTTCCACCCCACACAAGTGGTGGAGATAGCCAGTCCATGAGATAGGCAGATCTCAACACAGAGACAAGAAAAATCTGAAAAGCCTGAGCGTTAACTTCATTCCTGTGACAAAAACACCCGACATAATTTAGATTAAAGGAGGCAAGGTTTATCTTGGCTCATAGTCTCAGGCCATGGTCAGCTGCCTCCCTTTCCTTTAGACCTGTGGCAAGGCAGAAACATGAAGGGCTTGGTGGGGGAAAACTGCTCACCTCATGACAGGAAGAAGAGAGGGAAAGAGCCAGAGTAGAAGGGGCCAGGGAGCAAATGTCCCACAGTCACATCCCATGATCCCCTCCCTCCAACTCCTGTTTCTATCACCTACACATAAAGCCATCAAATTCCACAGTTAAGTCCCTCATGATCCAGTCACCGCTGTAGGCCTCACTTCTGAATACTGTTGCATCGGAAATCAAGCCCTCGGTACTTGGGATTTGGGGGGACCTTTCATATTTAATGATGCCTCCAAAAAAATCCAACTCTAGCAACAGAGCCTAAAGAAGTTGGTATGGATGCAATGTTTGATGAAGCATTTAAGAGATGATTATGAAAAGGGCCAATGAGATTGTGAAGATGATACATATAATTAAAGGAAATTGGGAAGATAATGCAGGATATGAACGAGAAATTTGGCAAAGGTATTTTGAAAAAGAATCAAGAGGAAATCTTAGAAATGAGTTCAAAAAATCAAATAATATAGTTGAAAGCTTCAACAAACAAGGTCAAGCAGGAAAAAAAAATCTGAACTTGTATACAGGCCTTTTGGAATATCCCAATCATAAATTTTTTTAAAAAAAAATCAAAAAAACACCAGAAACTATACTACAAAGCAAATGGACCTAATAGATATATACAGAATGTTCCATCCAGCAGGGCAAAATACAGATTTTCTTTAGCACATGGAATTTTCTCTAGAATAGGCCATACACAGTGGCATCTCAGTTCACAAACTTTCTCCTTCCATGATTCTGGAAAAGATCACCACGTTCATGTTCGTGTGGGAAAGATGGCCACCATCGTGTTTGTCACCCAATGCAGTTTGCAAACAGACAAAATTTTGCCACATGCTTCTGTTTGTGAAACAAATTGTTCACAAACAAAAGCGTTCATGAACTGAGATACCACTGTATTAAATCACTAAACAAGTTAACAGATTTTAAAACTGTGAAATCCTGTATTTTTTCTGATTGTGAATAAAACAGGACATTAACAACAAAAGCATTTTTTAAATTATATAAATACATAGAGACTGAATAACACACTTCTGAACAAGCAGTAGGTCACTGAGTAAGTCAGAGGGAAATTTAAAATTTTCTTGAAACAAATGAAAATGGAGATAAAACAGACCAAAACTCATGGGATATAGAAAAAGCAGTACTAAAAGGAAGGCTTAAAACAATAAACGCCAACATCAGTAAAGTAGTTTTCAGATAAGCTAATGATTTATTTCAAGCATATAGAAAACCAAAAACAAGCTAAACAAAATTAGCAGACAGAAGAGCAGAAACAAAGTAGGGACCAAAGAAAATAAGACAAATAGTAAAAAGATCAATGAAACAAAGGGTTGGTTCTTTGAAAAGATAAAAATCTACCAATCGTAGTGAAACTAACCAAAATACCAAAGAGGGAGAATACCCAATACCTAAAGAGTGAGAAAAGGTGACATTATAACCAACAGCATGGAAATATAAAAGATCACTATGATGAAGAGGATATATGCTAACAAACTGGAAAGCCTAGAAGGAAGGGACAACTTTCTAGAACAAATGACCTACCGACACTGAGTCAAGAAGGCATAAATGTCCTGAACAGACCAATATCAAATAGTGAGATTGGACCACCAATCAGTCGTTCAACAAAGAAAAGCCTGGGACCAGACGGCTTTACTCCTAAGTTTTACCAAACTTTTAAATCAATGGATCATCAAAAGACCAAACCCATGATCAAGCTTATTCATCCCGAGGGTGCAAGGAGTGTTCGACATAATGCAGTTCCAGCAACAACACAGGGAGAAGAGGGAAAAGTGGAGCGAAGGCAGGTAGCATATCACAGCCTCTCGGGACCTGCAGTCCAGGCAGCAACTTAACGAGGGGAAAAAGAAGAAGAGCTCTGGAAATCAAGAAAGAGCTCACAGGAACACTAGAGTTCACAGGGAAACTGAGGAAAATGAGGACGAGGCAGAGAACAGAGCAAAGCAGTCTGGAATGCAACCCAGCTCCCAGGGAGTGGGACCTGTATCTGTTGACACAGGTGAACTTGGAGAGAGTCAGCAGGCTCAGGAGAAACAGCAGACTGGCAGCTCCAGCCCCAAGAGAAGCCCACAGTTATGCAATCTGCAAATACAGCATGGGATGCTACTCTGAACATGACTCCTTTCGCATGACAAGCTAGAGTTAGAGGAGAAATTCACTGTCGCACCTGCCGCGTTGGGAGTGATAGCAGGAGTCATTTTACAAAGGGCTTAATTGTTTAAGACTGAACTACTCCAGGAACCAGAATTCAGAACAACTACACTTCAGGGTTTCTGGGGTCCCGCTTCCACAGTGACTGGGTGGGAGTCAGCCACAAGGGACAGTCCTGGAGTGGGGGCAGGAGACCCCCAAGCAGCTTATGCAGTGGGGCACTGGGCCAGGAAGGACACGATGGCCTCGCCCTCTGGTGAGAAGCCAGGCCAGCTGTGTGTGGCTTTCTGAGGGGCTCGGTCTGAAGGGCTGGCATTAACTTCAGTGAACTGCTTGCTCCCAACTCCCTTGCTGCCTATGTCAGGCACAGAGCTTGGGGCTCTGTTTGCTTTCCCCGTCTGCCAACGTGGTCAGAAACTTGCCTCACCTTGGATGTGTACCGCATCCCGAGGTGCACAGCCAGAAGGGCCACAGTGGGGCACAAACACTAGGAGCAGCTGGAGTGAATACAGACCTGAGGAGAAACCGTGCCATTTATCCACACTTCACAGCAGGAAAGGCAGGCAGAACTTAGCGCGCGCGCACACACACACACACACACACACACACACACACACACACACGAGTGGTGTGGAAACAAACTAGTCCTTACTTGTGACTCACTGTCCCTCCTCCATGCTTGCTGGGTTCCAATACTACAGGCCCTGGAAAGAAAGTACCCAATCACACAGGGGAATGTGGTGGATTCCTTTCTCTTTTTCTTTCTTTCTTAGTCTGTCTCTTCCCTCGCTCCCTCCTTTTCCTTCCTTCCTTCTTTTCTTTCTCTCTTTCTTTCCTCTTTCCTTCTTTGTTTTGTTCTATTTTCCTTATATTTCTTTTTCTTTGTTACTATAACCTTATTAACTTTTATGCTTTAATTGGACTCCTTATCTGACTTTTCTCTCCTCCTTCATATCTTCTTTTTTTTTCCAAATTATGCTACTTTTGTTTTTCTTTGCCCCACTCCCTCCTATTTTGTTTTTTGGTGCCAGAGATCGAACTCGGGACTTTGTGCTTGCAAGGCAGGTGGTAGAGCCACTGAGCTACATCCCTGGGCCCCTCCATTTTTATTACAATCAAGTTTTATTAGTTTTTTAGACATTTAGTTGATTAAATTCTATTGTTGAATTTTCTCTTGTTCATGGTGGAATAGCTGTTGCATTTAGTAGATACAGTATGTCAATATTTGGTTTGTCTTTGTGTCTGTATTACTGTTGTAGCTCTCTTTTCTATTGATAATGGTGGTATAGTGGTAGCTTTTATTGGTTCTTATGGTATTTAATATCTGGTTTGTCTCTGACTCTTATTGCTGATTTCTTGGCCATTGCCACTGGTGGCATAGTTATTTCTGTTAATTGGTTTTTACTGTATGCTAAAATCTGGTCTGTCTTTTTGTTATCAATATCACTGTCATTCATTTGCTCCCCTGTGTGTTGGACTAGGGATCAAGCACCCAGAGGAAGGCTGGACACTAAGAAGACCCTCAAACATGCTGAGTGTAGGTTGAAGAGAGGTATAAACATGAAAACAACTAAATACAAGAGTATATCACAGGAAGGCAGACTAGAGTCACAGCACTGACAGAGTTTTTCCACCCTAACTGCCTGCAACACAGAAACAACAGAAATATGACAAAGAAAGTCAACAAAATGCCTTTAAAAACCTTTAGCCTCTCAAAATGACACTAAAGTAATTTATAGGCAAGAACTGAAAAAACAAATGGTCAAAATGTTTGAAGAGAGCTCAAAGAAGAAATATATAAACAACTTCATAAGATTCAAGAGAATTTTATTAAAAAGATAAAGGATTTTACTACTAAAATGTTTGTTTGATGAAATAGAAGAAACAAACAATAAACTAATTGAGCTAAACAAGACAGTACAAGATATGAATGACCCATTTGGTAAAGAATTAGAAATTGTGAAAAGAAATCAAGCAGAAATACAAGCTCTGAAAAATCCAAGAATGCATGGCTAGCAGTTTTGACCAGTATGAAGAGAGACTGTGAGAAGCTGAAGACAAGGTGGAGGTAGATCATAAATGCCCTGACACCCTAAAAACAGACATGGGGGAAGCTGGATCCCACAGCTGCTAGAAGAATAAAAAAGAAACCAGTATCAGAATTATAGGAATAAAGGTAATATTAGAAGATGATGCAAAAATGCTGGTGAGTTTGTGAGGAGAAAGAAACTCTTCTACATTGGTGTTAGGAATATAAACCGCTACAACCAGTATGGAAATAAGTGTGAAGATTCCTCAAAAAATTAAAAATAGAAACTCCATTTGACCCAGCTATGCCTCTCCTGGTTACCTTCCCCAAACAGTTAAAGAACAAATTAAATGATACATGCACACCCATGTTTATAGCAGCACAACTCACAGTAACTGAACCTTGGAAATAGTTTGTATGTCCATCCATCAACATAGGAACAGATTAAGAAAACATGGTGTATATACACAGTGAAGACCTACTCAGCTATAAAGAATAAATCTGAGTTATTTGTAGGAAAATGGATGCACTTTGAGACCATAATGCTAAGTGAAATAAATCAGATACACAAGCTTAAATATTGCATGGTTTTTATTATAGGAGAAACCCAAAGTATAAGGACAAAAATAAAGGATAGATGATGGGAAACAGGGATGTAGACCTTTTGCATAGGAGAACAGGATTTAGGGGTGGGGAATGGGGAGGCAGGGGAAGGGGATGTAAAAAGGACTAAGATGAAATACGTACCATCAACTCCGCATGATGAATGTATTTATTATGTGTTGCAAGCATATACTAATAAAAATATCATTTAAAAAGAAACATAATACAAAAAACTGAAGGTTAAAAGTTATATGATGATTCAATAGATGCAGAAGTATTTGATAAAATTCAGTATCCATCACAATGATAACATTCCCGATCAAATTAGGTACACAGGGATCATACTTCAAGATAATAAAGGCTGTATATGACAAACACAGCCAACATCATACTGCATGGAGAAGGATTGAAAGCAAGCAGGAAGAAGGTTTCCACTCTTATTTAGTACAATATTAGAAGTTGTTTTTTTTTTTTTTTGGTACCGGGGATCGAACTTGGGACGTTGAGCTTGCGAGGCAGGCACCAGAAGCACTGAGCTAAATCCCCGGCCCAATATTAGAAGTTTTAACCAGAGCAATTAAACAGGAAATAAAATGCATATAAAGACAAAAGGAGGGGGGCCGGGGATTTAGCTCAGTGGTTCTACCACCTGCCTGGAAAGCGGAAGGTCCCGAGTTCGATCCCGGTACCAAAAAAAAAAGAGGAAAGGAGAAAGTCAAATTATCTTTACAGATGATATGATTCTATACATAGAAAAGCCTAGAGTCTCCACCAAAATACTGTCAGAACTCATAAATTCAGCAGAGTACACATATTAGGTACTTTCTTGTCACACCTACAACTTAAAGAAGGAAAGGTTTATTTTGGGTCACAGTTTGTAGAGATTCCAGTCCATAGTCAGCTGGTTCCAAGGTAGGATGGCATGGCAGAGGGGCCTGGCAGAGGAGAAACAGCTCATGGCATGGCGAACAGGAAGCAGAGAGAGAGGAAGGAAGGAAGGAGGGAAGGAAGGAAGCCCTTCCAGTCCATACCCCCAGTGAGCCACCTCCTCCCAACTAGGCTTCATCTCCCAACATCCCATTTAGCTATACATCCATCAGTGGATTAATTCACTGATGAGTATCCATGATCCAGTCACCTCTAAAAAGCCCCCTGTATGAGCACATGAGGCTTTGGCGGGGGTGGGGTGGGGTGTAGATACAAAACATAACATAGGATACAAAATTCACATACAAAAAAATCAGTTGCTTTTTTAATGCACACAATAACTGCTTTCAAGACATACTATAAAGCAATAATAACCAAAACAGCATGATATTGCCCTAAAAACATGCACATCCACAGCCAACTTATTCTGGACAAAGGTTCAGGAAATATGGAGCGAAGAAAGGGCAGTCTCTTCAATAAATGCTGCTGGGAGAACAGGACATCCACAGGCAGAAGATGGAAACTTGACCCTCTCTCTCAGCTCATACAGAAACCAACTCACAGTGGCCCAGAGGCCTCAAGGGAGGACCTGGAACTCTGAACTCTGAAAGAACTAGGAGAAAACATGAAACACTGCAAGACATTGAAATTGGCAGTGGTTTTCTGACAGAACCCCCCCAAACACAGGAAAGCAAAGCAAAAATTGAGAAGTTAAGATTACATCAAGGTAAAAACTTTCTGCACAGCATGAGAACAGAGTGAAGAGACAGTCTATCCAATGGGAGAAAACATTTGCCAGCTATTCATCTAACATTAAAATCCAAATATATAACAAGCTGAAAAATCTTAATTTAAAAAGCAATCCTATTGAAACAGGCAAATGATTTGAATGTACACTTCTCAAAATACAAATGGTGAAAATTGAGGAAATGCTCAGTCTCGTTAGCCATCAGGAAAATGCAGATCAAAACTACAATGAAAAACTCTATCGTCCCCATTAGAATGGCTATTATCTTTAAAACCCAAATGACAAATGTTATCACAGATAAGGAAAATAAGAGCTCTTATTTCTGGTTTGTGGAAATGTAAATTATTGTGGCCACGATGGAAACAACAGAAAGCCACAAGCAGTGCACTGTGTCATTCGGCTAGCTGGCTTCCGGGTACATAGCCAGAGAAAATGGGAACAGCTGCCCAAGTGATGCCTGCACACCAAGGTGGTTAGGGCTGCGCTCACAGTGGCTAAGACACAGCACCTGAGGTGCCCACAAAAGATAAATGGATGAGAAAAGGTGGTGTTCACACACAGTGCAGGCTTAGCCAGCCACAGAGAGAGGGAAATCCTGTCCGTGGCAGCAGAGTGGGTGGAGCTAGAGGACGTTACGTAAGAATGAGCAGACACAGAAAAGCGGGTACTGCTTGTTCTCTCTCATGGCGTGAACTAGAAAAAGTGACCTCAAAGCAGAGTAGGGACCACTAGAGTTTGGGGAGTGGATGTAGGAGGGAGGGAAAACAGATCTCGGATTTGGTCAACGCACTCGACATACATGTATGGGAATATCACCCTGAACCCCACTGGTATGAGTGATTAACACGTTAAACATGAAAATGCAGACTCTTCTGCTCTACGTGTACTAGTTTAGGAACTTAAAAGGAAAAGATTAGGCTGCCGAACAATTTATTTTTCCTTTGTACTTGTGAAAATTGTTCCCAAATAATCCTGGCCTCCGCCGCCCGCTTGGGACCATTAGCATTTTCCCTGTTTCTGAGAGCCTGTTAATTCTCACCTGTGCCACTTGGCCAGCGTGCTTCCCTCTGGCTGCCATGGTAACGCAAGGTAAGCTGCGGCTTTTATGCCTCTTCGAGACAGATGTCACCTCTAAGTCTCAAGTTTCAGATGCTGGATGTCAAACACCAGCTGAATGTTGTGAATCGATATGTGGTATCAGAGAAGCCTGTATTTTAGGACTTACACTACAGACTTGTTTCACAACCAGGAAGTGATGGAATGATTTGGATTTATTTCTGAGACACACTTTGACAAGAGCTCAGGAGCGCTGCGTGCCAGCCTGAGCGCTGACCATTGAGAAGTAGAGGCCTCTCTGCTCCAGCAGCTGCTGATGGGTGCCCTGCTCCCTGGCCCGGCCGTTCTGAATCACCGCGATGACGTCCGCGCTGTGCGCCGTGGCCAGGCGGTGCGTAATGACGACGCACGTGCGGCCCTCTCTGGCGCGGTCCAGGGCCTCCTGCACCGCCTGCAGGGAAAGCAGGTGTGAGACCGCCCGTCCGCCCGCCCGCCCGGCCCGAAAACTGTGCCAACAGGTTTGACCGTTGAAGGAAATGGGAAAGGTTTACCGTCCTGGTGAGTGAGCTCTTTTAACTTATAATCTCTGAGTCTTGATCTATGTGTGTTGGACACAACTGACATGTAATCTGCCTATGGTTGTTTGGCTCTTTAATTCTAGTAGAGTGGAGTCCTCTGGCGTCAGTGTCCACAAGTGTTAAACGCTTGAACTAATCACCATATCATTTTACTTAACTGCTTTTTATTTTCCAGTTTTCATGATTATATTTAATGTGCTGGAAATGCAGTTTACCTAGTTTTCTCCTTCTGAACGCTTGTTTTCTGCCTATGAGGGTAAAATGTGATGATTTTAGGACATTCGGAACAAAGCACAGCACTGTTACTTGGGAGGACCGCCGCCGGCTCAGCGCTGCCCCCCCCCGCCCCCGCTCCGCATGCCGGCCCAGCGGGAGCCAGACCTTCTCGCTCTCGGAGTCCAGCGCCGACGTGGCCTCGTCCAGCAGCAGGATTCGCGGCTGCCTGACCAGGGCCCGGGCGATCGCGATCCTCTGCTTCTGCCCGCCCGAGAGCTGAGTCCCCTTGTCGCCCACTCGGGTCTCGTATTTCTGCAGGAGCAAGAAGAGTGAGTGGGGCCCACGCCCAGGGAGTCCTCCCTGTCGCCGCCCGGCTGGCCCTCAGCTCAGTTTCAGTCAGAGTCGCGGAAGTCTCTGCGATAAGACAAGCCCCATTTAATGTTTTCAGCCTAACAGGATGTTTGTTCCAAAGTTACGCTCAATGGCTTTAGTTCTCCGTGGTGTTCTATAACGGAAACACGAGCAGCACATTTCTGAATCCTGCCACTGTCATACCGCCACTTGGCTGATGTCCCTGAGTCCTAACAAGTGCAATGCTGATACTTTCAGAATATCTTTAAAATCTGAAATATTCATATGACCCATGTGGAGACTAGGTTAGTCTCTCTTTCAATACTTTAATAACAAATGTTCATTTAAACATTTACTAAGTATCTGCCAGATACTCTCTTCACCAGAACTGGGAAATACAAAAAAAAATTCAGCTTTGTTTCTGCTCTGAGAGAATTTGTACTCTAGAGAGAAATACACACACATGCGCGCGCACACACACACACACACACACACACACATGCACACAGCACTCAATTTCAGGTCAAATAAGCACTGAATTAACAGTACACATACCGTGAAAAATCAGAAGAGGAAGACAGAAATTACTGGGGCAAGGTAGGAGGAGGAGGAAAAAAGGAGATGAAATGAAACTTTGTAGAGAAACTTGGGAAGCTAGATGTCGAGAAAACATTCTAGGTTAAGAAAGAAAATAGAAAAAAAGAAAGAAGGAAAGAAAATAGAATAGAGGAAAATCAAGTCAGTTCCGTTTGCAGAGCTTCTGAGGCAGTAGCACCATGGGGATTAGCTTCCCAACGTCCAGTGTCATTTATAACAGCTGAACCTTTCAAAGTTTTCTATTCACAGTCAAGTCCAATACTTAAGTCAGTGCATTAAAGGTTAAGAAGGCAAACCAACATAGGCTTAAAATTATTTGTGAGCATGAGTGACTTCTAATTATAGCAGGATATAAAAGCAAAACTAGGCCCCCTGCCCATTTGCAAAAGATCTACCTGTCCTATTTCCTATTATCTAGCTTTTATTTTGCTCTTTATTTATACTTTTGTGTTTTTGAGACAAGGTCTTGGTGTGTAGCCCAGGCTGGCCTCGAACTTGCTGCAAACTTCCCGGCTCAGCCTCCTAGGTGCTGGGATTACAGGCGTGCACCACCTCCCCCAGCCTTTTGGTTTCTTATGTAAGAGAAACCATGTGATATTTAAGCTCCTGTGTCTGATTTATTTCACTTAACATCACGGTCTCATGGCTCATCCATTTTTTTACAAATGGCTAGAGGTGAGGAGAAGGGAAAATAAAAAGAATTAAGACCCATTATGTACATGTACCAACTCCCAAATGAATGTAATTATGATGTACTGTGTAATATTGACAATATGTACGAATAAAAATTAAAGACTTAAAAGCTTCCATGCAGTGATTCATGTAAATGCCTGACGTGCCTTACATCAGTATGAGTTGAAGAACTAAAGCAATAATACTTTCCCTTCAGTTTTATTGGGGAATAACTGGCAAATAAAACTTGTATTTATTTAAGGAAAAAAAAAAAAAGCAAAGCTACTTCAGCCCTACTTCAGTTTAGTGCCATGGAACTGAATGCTGGATGGAGACTGACATCACCTTTGGGGACCTTGAGTCATCTTGCCAGGACTACGCATGTTCAAAACTGACATAGAAGAGACCCACATTTAAATGTAAGGCAGTAGAATTTTTAAAAATATGAATAAAATCTTTGAGGTCCAGTGCTAGGGAAAGAGATTTTAGATTTGAAATCAAAAGTAAGATCCATAAACAAAAAACTAATAAATTAGTTCTCATTAAATTCAAACTTTTGCTCTGCAAAAAAACCCTTTAAAAGGATAGAAAACCAAGTTGTAGACTGCAGAAAACATAAACTACATATCTGACAATAACTGTATTTTAAAAACTCAAAACTCAAGAGTAAAAATAAATGAAAGCAAAAGTGTTAGAAATGGGTAAAAAACACAGAGTCCTTTCACCAGAGGATGTGTAGATGCCAAGTATGTATATAAAAATACTGTTCAACTTCATTTGCCTTTAGGGAATGCAAATCAAAACCATGATATATATTCTGATACACTCCTATCAGAATAGTAAGAATAAAAAATAGTGACAACAGTAAATCTGAAAAATGTTTAAAGAAACTGCATCACATACATTGCTGGCGGGAATAGAAAATAGTACAGCTATTCTGAAAAACAGTTTAGCAGTCTTATATAAAATTAAATAGTAGTTACCACACGGTCCAGCAATTGCATACCTGGGTGATTATCCCAGAAAAATAAAAAACTTCAGTTCATACAAAGCCTATAGTTATGCATAAGTAAGTACCTGTTATTTATAGTAGACTTATTTGTAGTAACCAAAAACTAGAATACAAAAACCAAAAATAGGCCAGGGATTTAGCTCAGTGGTTCCGCTGCCTGCCTTGCAAGCGCAAGGTCCTGAGTTCGATCCCTAGTACAAAAAGAAAAAATTGACAAAAACTAGAAATAACCCAGACAACCTTCTACTGGGAAAGGCTAATTTGTGGTTCATCCACACTACATAGCTACCCTGCTATGAAGTGGAAGGACTTATAAACACACGCAACTTCAGGGAATTATACTATGGAACTTAGTATGTAAATTTAGTTTACATACAGTATGTTTTATATAATGATTTTTTTGGAGTTCCAGTGGGCTTGTTGAGTTTGCTTCTGCAAGCTTGCTGTATTCTGCCCACACAGGCTCTAGTCACTGTGTTTGGGGATGGGTTTAATTTCCATTCCCAGCTGTTCCTCAACACTTTGCAGGGTGGAGCAATCATCATATGTGATCAAGTTGATGGCTAAGCCAAGATGACCAAGGCAACCTGATCTTCCAGCGCTATGAAGATGTCTCTGCCAGCTTTGGGATAACAAAGTTCATTACCACATCAACAGCCTGTCTGTCAATACCTCAGTAAACATCAGTACAACAAGATTGTGGCCTAAGCCATTTTGAAAATCATGGGAGGCCTAATTTCTATGCTCCTGCTTCATTTTAGCATGATTATGCAAGCAAGAATGTTCTGGCTGAGAAATCTTGGCTAGCAATTTAAACCGGTAAAAGGAGCCACAGAGAATGACCGACTGGTTTATGTGAACCCCAGAGAAAAGTGTGTCCAGGCAGTGTACTCTTTAGTGCTGTTATATACATATAATACTGGGTTACTCCCTCCAGAGTTAGTTCCTCCAGCAGGTCAGTCTCAAAGTGTTTCTGCAAATGGGAATTCATGAACTTTTGTACACCAAGAAGGAAGCAACAGAATATAGTAAAATATGTGTATTTTTAGATTGCACGAGAATAATATCCTCCAGTATCTGCACCAAACTCTACGACAGCAACCTATCTGCCTCATCCATGACTGTCACCTGGACATGATCAACCTTTGTTACTCCTTTCTCGATGCCGTCCAGGACTCTGCCAGGGGTAACAATTACCACATGCACTGTGTCATCGAGCCTCACTATGGCAGCCTGTAAACTGGTTCCACCTGGGGTCGCCATGGCCTTGGGCCCTCTCAGGTATTTGCTGACCTGGATGCAAGTCCTCCAGGGGAACAGTCACGTTGCTTGTACCCCGCCCTTCTTCAGCCCTAGTTACTCAAGTAAGGGAATGAGGTAGGCGCTGCTCTCACCCACTGGGCGTGCACTCCCGTTAGGTCATCCCTACCAAATAAAGCAATGAAATGCTCTCTTCCCGAAGGGGAAATGTCTTCCCAGCCCATTTAGCGAATTCTCCTTAATAACTCCCATTTCAGTCAGTATTCTTCAAACGCCTTTCCTTTTGTGGCATTCACATCGCAAGTTCTGATTCTCAGATGCTCCTGAGGGAGTTCTGGAGTCTTCTGCAGCCACCACTAGGTTGCACTGTAGCTGGGCTCAGTGCCATTACTGTTTATGTTGGTGCTTTTCCTGGTCCTGTGTTGCTGTGTCTGTGCAGCGTCTCTGGGGCCACCACGGCTTTTCAGGGCCCTCCGCTGAGCATTTAGATCGGACCGACCCACTATACCAGGGCTCTCGGTTCTCGCTGTGCTCAGGCTGTGCTAACTGCAAAGGTGTCTCTTTCAAACTTCGAAACATTTGAAAGACAACAGAAAAATGTAATAACAGTGTACTAGGCCCTCCAAGATGATGAGATAAATATGTCTTACTCAGTGAGTCTTTTTTTTTTGGTACCGGGGATCGAACTCTGGTCCTTGAGCTTGCGAGGTAGGAGGCAGAACCACGGAGCTAAATCCCCGGCCCGCGGTGAGTCTTGTACTGCGATGCAGGCACCTACATATCTGTGCACTGCGAGCAGCAGTAACTTGCTCTCAGGCACCAAATCAACTTACTGCTTTTAAAAAGCTCGCTTAAAGAATTCGCTGACGGCAATCTCGGCTGCCACCTGCTCTCATGGCATCGCCAAAGCTGCCACAGGCTGAGCTGACTTGGCTGCTCTCTCTATAACATTTTTACAGTAGAAAACTGTAGGAACGAGGACCAGAGCAGTAGTTGCCAGCGGCTGGGGAGGAGGAGGAAGAGGAGGGCGGGGGGTGGGGGGGGGGGTGGGGTGACGCGATCCGGGCCCAGAGAGCTCCGCACCCTGGCTGTGGTAGACGTGTCTGTACTGCACCACAGCTGCGTGCGACCGGACGCGCACTGCTTCGGTGTAAACAAAGTCCCCCAGACTTCATGACCGAGGGCTTGGTCTGATGCAGCAGTGCTCGGAGGTGGGGTCTGCAGCAGTGACCAGAGCACCGGGCTCTGGCTTCCCCAGTGGCTGCGTCCTCTGATAGTCTGGTGCTGTCACTGCGAGGTGGCCGGGGAGGAGACTGGCTGGGGCTGAGTGCAGGAGGAGGGGCATGACCTTGAGAGCTGGATCTGCACCTCATGGCTTCTGCTCCTTTCCCCTCTCTGCTTCCTGCTGCCGGGAGGTGAATGGCCAGCTCCACCAGGACCTCCACCGTACTGCCGTGCCCCACCTCTGGTCTCGGGTCAGTGCAGCGACAGCGGCCCGGGGCCTCTGAGACTGAGCTGCAACACAGGCTCCTCCTTTAAGTTGTGCGCATCAGGTACTTTGTTACAGGGATGGAAAGCCTCCCCTCACCCCCAACAAGGAAAGTAAAACTGGTGACATCTGAATGACAGTGGCAGGTTATGCCAGGGTTGATGTGTACCTGTGATGCTGTAAGGCAGTTTTGGAAGATGGGGACGTGCAGATAAAGGGTATGTGAGATCGCAGCATTCCTCACAACTGCATGTGAATCTATAATTATCTTAGTGCAACAGTTTAAATTTGGGAAAGAAGCACATGGGCTGACCCAAGCACGACTGTGTTCTGACTGGAGTTCATGCCAGGAGTCTGCAACTGAGGCCCACACTTGGGGCTTTTTGCCCCGTTTGCTTCCCTCTGCATTTGTGTGCAGTAGCACCGTGTACTCCCATTGACAGATGAGCAAACCTGTCATCCCGAGGTAGCTTTCCAAGGTCACAATGCTAATAAATGAATGCATTCTGTTACGAGACTGTCAGTGTAACTTGGGAGTCGTTTTGGGAATAAAAACTATGGTCTATTCTGATTTCAGCTAGGAAGTTGCCCCTGACCAGTCATGATAACCAGAAGCCCATGGGGAAGGGGTGCCTGTTTGAAGCCAAATACTTGTCAATTATTGACCGATGATTATTAACTTTGATTTCAAAAGCAGCTGTGTTTCTGATGAGTGCTGAACAAATGTGCGTAAGTTCTGTGCCAGACTTTTGACCTTGTTCTCCAGGACTCTACGTGGGACAGGTGGCTGGAACAGTAATAGAGCAGGGTTTCTATTTAACCCTGTCGGGACTAAACTGTATCTTCGAGTGTCAATTTCTCCCTGTGTGGTAATAAACAGCTGCCAGCATTCGGTTCTGTTGTCCCAGATGTAGCTTTTTATATGCTCACTTTTAGTTATTTCTCTACCTTGCAGCAGACTCTACACATTCAGCCCGTCAGGGGTTTATTTTACAAACGTAGGACTATAAGGGTTAATTAGTAACAAGAAAGAAAATTGAGCTCATTTATGGCATAATTTCGCACAAGAAGAGAATCTACTCAGTTCCATATTTCATCCGTGAAAAACTTGCAATATGGGCATTTCAAGAATTAATGAAAAGGAAATGAAGCCCTGTGAGACTCCTGTTGAATGTGCCTGATGCTTGTATCACCATCCTTGACTGCAGAATACTTGATAAAGACAAAGTTGACTCACATGGGGCAGCGTCTCGATGAACTGGTGGATGTTGGCTGCTTGAGCCGCACTCATGACCTCCTCCCGGGTCACTGCCCGGCTGTTGTCCCCGTAGGCTATGTTCTCCTCGATGCTGCAGTCGAACAGGATGGGCTCCTGTGACACGATGCCCAGCTGTGCTCGGAGCCACTGCACATTCAGTGTCTTTGCTTCCTGACCATCCAGAAGCTGGAAACCAAAGCCCACAAACTATAAGGAGGCTTTAAAGAGGGAAGGAAAAGCCCCACTAAGGCCCACTAATAGAGGATTGCTGCGCGCGGGCATTGGCAGTGGGTGTGAAGCACCAAGCCACGAACCTCAGCCTGACACAGCATTAATCAGCTTCCTGTCTCTGGGACACAGCCCGACCCCCACAGCTTCAAGGGGAGGCGTAATCTGCCTCACAGTTTCAGGGAATCCTTGCTCTGCTGACTCCAAGGCAGAAACACCCTGGAGGGAGCAAAGCTGCTGAGTTCAGGGCGGCTGGCACAGAGCAGGGGACAGAGCCACAGAGCCAGGGCCAGGCCTCAACGACCGCCCAGTGCTGTGCTTTATTAATCTGCTAGCATTTCTTTATCTTTTGAAAATGTAAGCACACAGTCGCAGTATGTGCCAGTCCTGTTCACTCTGGGGAGTCAGTGCATGTACAGGGCTTTCAAGCTGACATGCGGGGATGCGCAGCCACACTGTAGAAGGCCAGCGCGGCCAGCAAGACCAGCACTCCTCCCCACTGTCCAATGGCAAACTGGTCGCGGATTCGGCCCTGTTGGCCTCTCCCCATGCCTCTCTGTCCCTGTCTCCCTCTACCCACACTGTGTCACCCTCTGCCTTTAGGAATCTGCATCAGGCGTCCCGCCACAACCTTCCAACTTTGGTTCTATCCATTTTCCCCTGAGCACACCAGAAAAAACCTGGATCAGTAGTAGAGGTCCAGATTCTGAAAGCTAGTAGCCCTGACCCCATTTCCCCTCTTCCCTGAGAGCTGTAGTCTTAAGCCTCTCCCGCTTTGGGTTGTGGACAGGCTCCTGGGGTTAGGTGAAGGTGTCACCCCATAGGAGTGGTAGATGCAGTCATTATCACTTACAGTTAGATTGTCACTCAAGGGAGAGGGCCAGGGGCCAGAGACCAGGGTCAGTGATGCAAACCAAATGGGAAAGAGCAGAGGTTGAGGATCAAAGTCAGACAGCCTGGAGTTCGGGTTAGAGAAGTCAGGCAGTGCAGAAGGTGGTGGGGAGGGAACAGCCAGGAGCCAGGCTGGCCTGAGGGTCTGCTCTGAATCCAGCAGAGCCTGGGGTAGACTCAGGTCCTGGGACTCCTACTCCTCTCCTTGAGAACTTCCAACTGTAAGCTTCTCTTTCTGATAGCACTAAGGGAAGAGCTGAATGAAAGCGAAAAGCTACAAAGGGCAGTGTCTTCTAGAGAACTGTTGTTTTTGCTTTACTTGCTACAAATAAGTGAGATTTTGCTTAGGATAACCAGACTGGGTCAAAGGCCCATGGTGGTGGAGGTTAATCCAGCATTTTCCGAGCTAGACAAAGTTGCAGGTATCGTACCCTGTTGTCCCCATATGTTTGCCTGATGTGGGTGCCAGTTTGGGATCTGTAGAATGTGGTCATTGTATCAGAGAGAATCACAGGTCCTAATGTGTCAGTTCTTTCCACCGTGACCATGCTGGCATGGCCCGTGAGAGGCAGCTGCTAGGCAGTTCACCAAGAACAAGTGCTCACCACTGCTCCGGCCAGGGGGTCATAGAAGCGCGCGAGGAGCTGCACCACCGTGCTCTTCCCGCAGCCGCTGCTGCCCACCAGGGCCAGCGTCTGGCCCCTCTTCACTTCAAGGCTCAGCCCCTGAAGCACAGGCACAGTCGGCCGCGTGGGGTAGTTGAACACAACTTCATTAAATGTTACGTTTCCTTCAAATTTATCCTAAAATGTTTACATTATTATTATTAGTATTGATCGGATAATTATTTGATTAAGAAGTATTATTTCAAGGAAACTTTACCCATAACTGTAGCAGAGAAATATGAAATAAGCATCCAATATAGTGGTGACACTGCTGATAGCAAATTGTTATTCTATAAAATGAAGATAGGAGGTGAGGGCATAGGTTACACCAGGTACAAAGTCCTTACAGAGAAGCATGGTGTGACCTCAGTTGCTAGTTCACCTAAGGCAGGCATTTAGCTCTCCCCATGCTGATTCTGAGGCTGAGGCCATGCCAGTGGACACAAGCTTGAAGGCTGAAGAACTGCAGCAACATCTCTACCTACAGTTCTGGCGGGCAGCCCTTGTCTCAAACCCTGCAGCTTTTCCTCTCATTCATGAGACAGAGCAATTTTCTCAGAACATGAAAAGCTCATGATGTCCTGGGAGGATTGTCCAAGTCCCAATCTCTTTATCCACAGTACTTCTTGGACATCAGAATGCACAGCAGCTTATATGATATAAAGAACACTCAGATACGAATTTGAGGTAACTTGGTAGATAATAAAATACCAGGTTATTACTCTCATTGGGAATAAAATGACCCTCCTACCTACTATAATTCAGCCATTATAAAATGTGATTAAAGTCAAATTGCTAATTACATCAGTGTGACAGAAGTCTATGCATATACCTTCATGTAGAAACGACTAAAGTTTTTGTTGAAATTATTCAGTTGTAGTAATCTGGTTTTACTTTTTGTTTTTTTGTTTTTTGTTTTTTGTTTTTTGGTGCCAGGGATTGAACTCAGGTCCTTGAGCTTGCGCAGCAGGCAGCAAAACCACTGAGCTAAATCCCTGGCCCAGGTTTTACTTTTTGAAAATGTTCAACATGCTAAAATTCAGACCCCTTAAAAGCTCCGATGACATTTTAAAGAGCCAGGAAAGTTGGCCAAGTATTAGTCATGTAAATACCACAAAATAAGCTAAGTGTATGTTGGTGTAATCACCACCAATTTATCACATAGTCACAACCCAGCAGATTGCAAACCTTCAGGGAAAACAATCAAGCCTTCATCAGGCAGCAGAAAACTCACAGGCCACAGCCCTTGTCGACTGTAGCTGTCAACCAAAGGCTGTCTCTCGAACAGCTGGAATAAGTGGGCTGCAGACAGCTTGGCTTTGGCATAGTCAGGAGCAAATGAGCTCGCGTGTCCTAGAACCACAGCACCCAACACAATCGCTGAGAACACCCTAGACAGAAGGAATTCAGAATCAGCTTATGTAAGTAGCTCCATGATGTCTGCAAGTCCAAAGGCATTCTGCTCACTAGTGTGTATCATTTTCTCCCTTCATCATCCTTCCCCCCCGACGTTTCCATGGAATTCCAAGAATGAAGGAATCTAGAAGAGACAAAACACACTGCTTCAGAGTGCACATTTTCTCTGCTTACCTTCCAGTTTCCATGGAAGCTCCTAATTTCCTAGAGATATGAAACCTTCCAGAGTTTTTCACTTTCAGGAAGTGGCCAATCAGGAATCTGAATTGTGATCTCAACTAATTTTAGGGGGTGAAAGAAGTGAAGTACAAAGTACTTACGAGGCTCAATCAGTTCCAGAATAGGAATGATATTTCCTACTAAGTCGACAGCCCTGACTTACAGTGTGTGGTTTCCTCAGTACCACAGCCTAAGTGATGGAGATAATCACTGTCATTAAGAATTCTTACTAGCAGGTCTTCACAGAGCAATCCAACCAGCAGTTGCAGAATACACATTCTTTTCATCAGCACAAGGAACTTACTCTAGAATTGACCATATAATAGGTGACAAAACAACTCAAGTTCAAAAATATTGAAATCCTATATATTTTCTGATCACAAAGGAATAAAAAATCAACAACAAAATAAACTTTTGAATTATACAGATGCATGGAGCCTGAACAACACACTTTTGAATGAGAAATGGGTCATGAAGGAAGTCAGTGAAATTTAAACATTTCTAGAAATGAATAGAAAGGACAACACAACATATGAAAATCTGTCGAAAACAGCAAAAGCAGTATTAAGAGAGAAGTTTATAACAATGAGTGCCTACATTAAAAAATAACCTATTGATATACCTCAAGAACTTAGAAAAGTACAAATTAAGCCTAAAATTAGTACAAGAAAAGAAAGATCAGAGCAGAAAAAAGTACAAGAGACCGATGAAAAATGAAGTTAGTTCTTTGCAAAGATAAAAAGACAAATCTTTATCTAGATTAACCAAATACATAAAATAGAAGTGTAAAAGGGAAGATTATAATTGACATCACATAAATTCAAAAGATCATCAAAATATATGCCAACAAATTAGAAAACTGAGAATAAATGGACACATTTCCAAACACATGTCCAACCAAAAGTGAACCAAGAAGACAGAAAATTCCTGAATGCACCAATAACAAGTAATGAGATTGAATCTTCAATAAAATATCTTTCAACAAAAGAAAGCCCAGACTGTCACTGCTGAATTTTACTAAACTTCAAAAAAACTATCAGTCCTTCTCAAACTTTTGCATAGCATTGAAAGAAAGGAGACATTTTCCAACTCATTCTATGACCATTACTTTGTTTGTTTTGTTTTTTTGGTACCGGGGATCGAACTCGGGACCTTGCACTTGCGAGGCAGGTGGTGGAGACCATTACTTTGTTACCAAAACCTGACAAGCACACCACCACCACAACAAATAAATAAATAAATAAATGGAAATGAAGAGAAAAAAGAAAATTATAGACTGTTTTCCCTATTGGTCTAACATAAATGCAAAATTTCCCAACAAAATACTAGCAAATTGAATTCAACAGCACAGCAAAAAGATTATGCACATGGTCAAATTGCTTTCAGCCCAGGAATAAAAAGATGGCTCAACATATGTAAATCAGGAAACATAATATATCACATCAACACAATGAGGGATAAAAGGTATATGATCATCTCAATAGGGGCAGAAGCATGGATAGAATTAACCATCCCTTAAAAAGACCCTGAGAAAATTAGAAAAGGATTGTATGCAGCACCACAAAGGCTATGTGTGACAAAACCAGAGTTGCATCACAGTGAAGGAGAACAGCTGAAAGCATTTCCTCTGACACTGTGAACAACATGAGGGTGCCCACTTCCACTCATTATAGTGCCAGACATTTTACTCAGAGCAGTTAGGCAAGAGAGAAAGAAAAGATGCACGAACAGTAAGGGAGGAAGTCAAATTATTCTTGTTTGCAAGATTCTATTTTTCAGAGAAACGAAGGTCTCCACCAAAAGGCTATCAGAACTGATACATCCCTAGTAACACATACAACTCAGTAGCTTCTTCTATGAGTCAACAGTTAATTTGCTGAGAAAGAAATCATGAAATCAATCCCATTCACAATAGCTACAAAAATACATAAAATACCTATGAATAAACTTAACCAAACAGAAGAAAATCCTCAATAATGACTGATAAAAGAAATTGAAATGGACACACAAAAAATAGGTTTTCCATGTTTATGGGTTGGAAGAATATTGTTAAAATGTTCATACTACCCAAAGAAATCTACAATTTCAATGCCCCCGTAAAAATAGCAATGACGTTCTTCATAGAACTAGAAAAAACAATCTCAAAATTTACATGGAAGCACAAAAGACCCCAAACAGGCAAAACAATCTGCAGTAAAAAGAATGAAGCCTGATTTCAACACTTACTGCAGAGCCATGATAACCCAAATAGCAAACGTTGATAAAGACAGACATATAAACCAGTGGACAGAATAGAGACTCAGAAGTGAACCCATTCATCTACAGCCAATTCATTCTGCATGAAGGTGCCAAAACATGGAGCGGAGAAAGGACAGTCTCTTCAATAAATGGTTCTGGGAGAACAGGACATCCACAGGCAGAAGATGGACAGAGACTTGATGCTATCTCTCACTTTCACAGAAACCAACTCACAGTGGCCCAGAGGCCTCGAGGGAGGACCTGAATCTCTGAAGCTACTAGTAGAAAACATGGGGAGACACTTCAAGACAGGCAATAATTTCCTGGATAAGACCCCCAAAGCAAAAGTAGATGAAAAGATTCTGCACAACAAAGGAAACAACTGAAAAGTGAAGAGACAACCTAAGAATGGTAATACATATTTTCCAACTAGTCATCTGACCTGAGAGGGGATTAATATCTACAATATATGAAGGAACTCAAAAAGCTTAATTAAAAATGAACTATCTGTTTTTAAAATGGGCAAAAGATCTGAATAGACATTTCTGAAAAGAAGAACACAAATGATGCACAAATATGTGAGACAGTAATGAAACAAATGCCGGTGAGGGGTGGAGAAAAAGGCCTGTGCCTCACTGTTGGTGGGAATGTGGATCAGTGTCGACACTGAGGAAAGCACATGGGGCTCTGCAGAAGACGGACATGAGACCTCATACTGTGCCCTGTCCTACTCTGGGGGCAAGCCCACAGTGATGTGGTCACCACAGTGAAGGACACCTCTGTGTGCACACTTCCTGGGCAGTGTAAACAGCAGCTAAGGGATGCAATCAGCCTCGGTGCCCAACAACAGGTGAATGCTGCTATGGCTGGTGTCTAGGTGTCCCCAAAGCCTCGTGCAGTCACAGGTGGGGCTCTGTGGAGCTGGCTGAATCTAGGGTGTGTGATGCTGCTATCAAGGATGCAATGCTAGGATTAAGAGTGTGAGTGCTGCCCGCCTAAAGGTGGGTAGCATGGATAAGATACAAGGGACAGAAAGATGGTCATTGCTTCTTGCTTGTGCCTTGCTGCTTGGTGCCTTCTGCCTGCCATGAACTGTTTCTCCTCTGTGATGCCCTCTGCCGTGCCACCCTGCCTTGCAGCCAGCTGACTATGAACTGAAACTTCTACAAACTGTGAGTCAAATAAACCTTTACTCCTTTAACTTTGGGTGTTGAGTATTTTGTCTCAGCAATGAGAAATGTAGCCAAGACAAATGGATTTTCAGAATGTGGTGTGTAATATTATTCAGCCATAAACAAGAATGAAATCCTGTCACTTGTAACAAAATGGAAAGAACCAGAGGACATTACGGTAAGTGGAATAAGCCAGACACAGAATGACAAGTGTCATATGTGGGAACTAAAAAGTTGACCTGAAAGGAGAATAGATATTATTAGGGATTGGGAAGATGGGACAGAAGGACAGAAAGGGGTGGTTAGAGGTGATCAGTGTATGTACTTTGTGTATAGACACATCACACTGAACTTCCTTAGTGTGGTAGGCACGATGAACACACAGTAACAATAAAAACAGTTAGGGAAAATATGCCTTTACTAGAAATATCTTTTCTTTCACAATTAAAATGACCTTTGACATTACCCTGAAGAAACAGCTATTCTGAATTAAAGGCTTATTTTCTAATTATATGTTCTTGAAGGAGTGGATGTTGAAGATAACAGCTTTTAGGGAGCACTAACGCCCTGCAGTCTTCGCCTCTACACGGCAATCCAGTTCTGCCACTGGAGGCCCCGGAGAGGGAGGGATCACTGTCTAGGAATAATGGAGAACTTGCTAAGTTCTCACTCCCAAACCTTTAAATCTAAGATATGAAAATGTGCTCAGTACTGGGGACAGGGATGGTGGGCACACTAGGTTTTCCTTCAAATACTTGACAACATGGTTAGTTTCCAAGAGTGAAGTTTTAAAATGGTGATGAACAACCCCCTGTGGCTGTCATTCCTCTAATTAGCCTGTTAACCTCCTTTAACACGAGAGATGAAAAATGTGTCTTTCAGTGATCCACAATTAAACATTTCAGTGGTTACATATGAAGCAGGGCCATTTTCTGCAGATGGCAGTGCTGCAGACAGAGAAACGGGTCACCCCCCCCCCGCTGACACTGCCTCCCTCTCCTCCGAGGGCTTCCTGCTCCATGCCCGAAGGCTGACTTCAGGACTACATTCAGAGGACTTTCCTGTGCTCTGGCTTCTAACAGGGTTTGGCCAGTGGAAGGGTTAGCAAGGTGCTGGAGGCTAGAGAAGAGGTTGCAGGATTTGTTTCTTGTGGCACTGCCCGCATGTGTGGCAGCTCTCCCCACTGAAGACATGGAAGGCCCCTTGCTGAGCTCCGAACTCTTCCCTTGCTTGTCCTGGAGGCACAGGTGGTGTCAGTTTCTCCTGGGCACTGCGGTCCTGGACACCACCCTGCTGTGCCAGGGAACAGGCCCCTCAGCAAACCCCTGAGTTACCCATGTGATGCACCCTTTGTCTCCTGCTGGGGTTTTCACTGATAAAAAGACTGTGTGACTCGTGTGTGTGTGTGTGTGTGTGTGTGTGTGTTTAAGCTTATTTTAATTTTGGACAAAAACAAAATAACTCTTAGACACTTTCACTTTTCTCCTTGACCTCATTTCAAGAAAGGTTATTCAGCACTGCTTTAAAATCATCCTACAAGAGCAGAAATATGCCAAATGATTTTAAAAGGAATGGTTTCCTTCTTTCAAACCTGAACTGCAACTTCATTCAATGTCCTCGGCCAATTTTGAAAAGAAGAATTCATCGAGCAGGAAGACCTTTGCTAGGCCTTGGAAACCGAGGAAAGAGGTGGGCAGGGCACGAGGAGCGCCTTGGCGGAGCTCTCTGGGGCCTGGTGGGGACAGGACTCTGGCTGCGGCCTGGCCATGGCAGCTCATGGCACACCATCTAGCCCTCTGCTCTGAGGCCACAGCCGTGGTCAACTTTTCTCCTTTTCGTCAGTACACGTTTGCATCCACAGGGACCCCAGTCAACTCAGGGTTTGCCAGGCAAACAGGTCGCGTCTCCATTTCCCTCGCTCCTCCGCCCCCTTATGATGTTTTTCCGCCTCCTTTCTACATGGTGAGAAAACTCGCCGTGCTTCTGGCTGGGTTACGTGAACAGCTGCAGTTCTGCTTTATGATTATTTTCACAAGCTCGACTGCTGTTAGTTCATGAGGTGATGAAACTGCACTTGTAGTATCGTCAAGATCAGCTTTCTGAGCCTGCCAGGGTGAGGGCGCCCCTAAATTTAACTCCCTTGGACAAGTGGGTTTTTTCCTACTCCCAATCTTTGCGTAAACCTATTGAAACTGTTATGGGGTTATTATAGAATCATCTTAGTATTTTTAAAGCTACTTACAGAATAACATCCCTGAAGCGCATGTGTCCATTCACAATGAGATAGGCACCAAATCGAAAGCAACCAGCGTAGGAAAAATACATAAATGCTTGTGAGATACTAAATGTGATTCCATAGGCGTGTGCCTTCCTCACCGAGTTCCTGAAAAGCAAATTAGTACATTCATAATCAGTGCATTCAGCCACTGTCAGCATTATGGAGCGCAAAGAGCAAGGCTTCTCATTGGGGCTTCGATTCTACCTTACATTATGTTGGCTTGGCTAAGTGATTCATCTCGGAAGGCACCAGTTTTCTGTGTAGAACAGATAATCACTGTTGTCAGAACTGCAGTGAGAACTGAGTACAGTGAAACAACATAGTGCCTAGCTCACAGTGAGGCTCGGATGGTTCTGGTATTCCTACTTCACGCTGCATCTGATGACTCAGATGTTCAAGGCCCTGACATAAATACAGCTGTTGTTTCAAAACCACCTAAAGTATCACAGAACTAGCGCTTGAATCATCCCAGTGTAATCTCTTACTACTACGACCTGGTCTGCTGTGCCTAGATGTAGTTCACACAGCTTGGGTTATTAAGTCTATATAACACACACTGGAAGTCCTTCCTCAAGCTAGCTCCTAGCAACCCTGGACAGTTGGTTTAGCACCATTTCTAATCAGACCCATGCCACACTTCATTAGGTTTCTAAATTCTCCAAAAGATTCGCAATTTATTTACTTTCAAATTAGAAAGGAGACATTTAACAAGGAAAAAAAAATCAGTATTACTGATGTGGATGGTACAACTTAGGTGCTGTGACCACAGTGTTATAAAACTTACCATCACTGAACAATTTACAAGGCTATTGGATCTTTCAATTATGACCAAGTTAATAATTTGCTTCAGCTTTTTATTCCTTGTTAATTCTTTAAAGTTCAAAATAAACCATAAAGTCCCAGGTGAGTGCATACATGGGAACAGCCACATGTCAGAGCAAATGGGCACGAAAATGCAGGAGTGAGTGACCTCTCACTGGATGCGCATCCTGGAGCTCCAGCTGGTGTCTGCTGCCTGCACCTGTGACCTGCTCTTCTGTAACCCTCTGTGCCGCTCGCTCTTACAAACCTAACCTTGCTTCTCCTTCCATTGCCCGGTCCTTTTCAGACACAGGCTTTGACAGACCTGTACACGCACACTCCTTTCTCCATCACTCCCCCGTCGCCTCTACCCTGCTCCCCTAGTTTCCTGTGGGCCGACGGGTGCGCATTGTATCGGTTTGTTCACATCCAGCCCCGCTTGACCCCTTACACCCCCGCCTTGCTCTTATTCCCTTTCTTATGTGTTTTAAAAAGAGATGTAAATGTCTAATCCTGTGGTTATTTTCAGTGAGATAATTACTGAGGAAAGGGCATCCTTAAGGCCATATTATCTACAGCAGAAGTTTTATTATCTTTGGGGAGCAATAATTCAGTCTTGGGAAAGCTCTGGACTCTCAGCAAGCGTGTTCTTTACCTGTAAGGCCCATCCAGTTTGTCGACATACATTGATTCAAATTTTCTTTCCTGGGTTAAAGACACAACTGTCCTAATATTTTCTATTGCTTCTGTTGCAATCTGTAATAGAACAGACCTTTGTTAGAAGCGGCTCTTTTATTTCTGAAACAATAAACATGTGAGGCGTAGGGCTCTGTCAAAAGTCTCCTGAAGGAGCTGGGTATGGTGACACATGCTTGTAATCCCAGCAGTCTGGAAGGCTGGGGCAGGAGAATCACAAGTTTGGGTCTAGCCTGGGCAATTTAGGGACATATCGAAACCCTGTCTTACAATAAAAATCTTTTAAGAACAGGTCAGGGATTGGGCTGGGGATTTAGCTCAGTGGTGCCGACGCCTGTCTCACAAGCCCAAGTGTAAGGTCCTGAGTTTGATCTCTGGTACCAAAAAACAACAAGGCTGCTGGGCTAAGCCGCGTCAGTCAGCCTGGGCTTCCCAGACCCGGGCGAGGCGTGGACGGAGGACATCGTCACCACGTGATGCCGCATGGTGTGACACGCTGGTCTGGACAGGGAGCAGGCAGAGGCTCAGGGACAGCAGAGCTTGCAGCCCAGAGCGGTCCGTGTGACTCGACCCCGTGTCCTTGGCACCCGCACTGGCTGGACCAGCGTGGGGAGTGCTGTCGGGGCAGTCGGACACGTGCTTCTGTAGCCCGGACTCCCGGCTCAATGGCGTCCTGTGTACCAGCTGAGACTCTGATCTCAGGCTCAGTTTCTGTAACCAGGTGAAAGCAAAACCCTACATACCTTCAGCTGAGAAGCTTTCCATCTTTATCGTACTCGAAAGCAAAGACCTAACAGCGGCGGTCAGGATGTTAGCTCCTTGGTTGAAGCAATCCCTTAGACCCACAGCAAGCCCGGCAGGTAAACACTCTGCTTCACCACTGCAAGGACTCCTCCCGCCTAGGGCTCTGGTCAGTGAGCCACAGCACAGGGCCTGCCCAGGTGGAGAAGGCAGCCAAGAGTGGCCTTCACTCGGCCCTGGGCTTCCTGGCCACGGGTGATGCTTTGTGGGCAGCTCTGGGATGCAGGCCCTCACCTAGGGAGTTTGGGAGTGCCGGCCCGTCCACTGACCCGGGTCACCGGGAAGGGGCTGCGACACCAGTGGCAGATGTGCGTGGCTGTACGACTTCAGATTCCATCAGCTCACATCACGGGACAAATGTGATTGTGGGCACAGTGACTTTCAGGGCCAACACCCTCATTACAAGCCTTTTCCAGAACGGGAACATTCCGAGTGCGATGTACTTCAGCTGTAACTAATCCGCTCCCGGATAAATTCGAGCATTTCTTTTTGAGCACACAGTGACGTGGGGGTGTCCAGAACCTTCATTCCAACCCTAGTTCCCTCAAGTAATCAACAGTGGGCTGAGAAATGAAACTGAACTATGACTGAACTGCTGCTAAATAACATTTAAAGTTTTTAATCTCTCATTATGTCTGCTATTAGGTTAAAGTGGCTACTTAAAACTCAGCCTAGAGTAGCAGTGCGAGGAGGAAACCAGTAGAAAGTCGGAGTGTTGACGGGCTGGAAGCCATGACAGGGTTTTTCTTTCAGTGCTGGGACACAGAAGGGAAGGCAAGGCCAGCCTGCAGCCCTGCAGGTATGGCCAGAGGACAGTCCGGGGCTTGGGACCCTGGGAGCCGTCCACGGCCCACTGGAGAGCTTGGGCTCCCTGTGTAGAATAGAGCTGTCCCTGTCCTGACTAAAATGCTCGCATGGAGCTGCAGCTGGTGCTGGGGAGGGTCATCAGGCAGCACACATGCCAGGTTGTAATTTTAATCTCGCCCTCAATTCCACACAGCTGAGTGAATTGCTTTCCCCCTCAGAGCCAGGGACATTGTCCTGGCCCCTAAGACTGTGGTGAAGGCCAGGGCGGTGACATCTGTGAAAGGGTTTTAAGTGTGGGCTATGGAAACGATCATATTAATATTCATTGTCAGCTTTGTGGCCCAATGTTTCAATAAAGGATGGCATTTACAACTGTAAGAATTATGTTTGTGGCCCAAGTGCCCACCAGCTGGAGACTAGATAAAGAAAATGTGTTTTTTTTAAAAAATGGAGTACTACTCAGCCGTAAAGAATGAGAAACTAGAGACATTTATAGCTAAATGGATGCACATTGAGCCGATACTCTTAAGTGAAATAAATAGGTCACAGATGTGTAAATACCAAATAGTTTCTCTAGTGTGAGAAACTGAAAGTGTAAATAAGGACTAAAACGTATAATAGATAATGTGAAATAGGAAGAAAAGGGGCAAAGGGGAAGGAAGTGGGAGAGGTAGAGGAAAGGAAAGAAAGGAATGGAATTAATATGGGAAAGTGAAAAACGGAAACAAAGTCTTTGTAGATAGGGAGGGATGGAGGGATGGAGGGATTGAAGGGAGGGTAGAGGAAGGGGGGAAAATAAGATCCAAGATCCATCATGTACAGGTGCAAATTTCCAGTGATGAACGTAACTGTATTATATACCTAAAATGTACCAATAAACTTAATGAAAAAAAAGAAAAGAATTATGTTTGTGATCTTAATCCACACTTGAATATTTAAAGGCATGTATGTGCAAAGTGTTCCTGCGTGTTCACACTACGTTCCTAGTGTGAAGTGTTCCTACGTAGATTTAGTCACATTTGAACACCTGTGAAGAGGTAGGCGCTCTGGAACTAGATGTGGACCTGAACCCTGCGGAACCTCTGCTGTGCCGAGGTCCTGCTTTGCAGGCGAACTTGGGCACCATCATTCCCTGCCTCCTAGGAGGGCTGCCCAGGAATCGGGGCACTGCTGCCATCTGGTGGCTGCCAACCTAGAAGGTCGAAAGCACAGCCGAGAAGGAAAAGCACAGTCCCCTTAAAGAGGGCAAATGTCTGCCCTTGAACAACTCCCTTCTGCTGTCCTCGGGTCTCCTCATCTGTAAAACAAGATGACTTTTTTTTGACAATGGCATCAGGGTATTAATAGGAAACATGCTGAAAACCCAGTTCTCTGGAATAACCACATGGTGAGTACTTTCCCTAGGCCAAAAGCTTTATACTGATCACCTCATTTTTAAGTTGAAGGCAGTATTACAGTGGTAAAATACCTCCTACTGCATTGGGAGTGATTCGGAGTTGCAGTGAACTCCAACATTAAAACATGTATATTGTGATCATTCCAATAAAAGCTGTCCGAAAACACTTCTACTAATTGAAGCTTGTTCAACCCACCTTCCCAGCTATTTCCAGTTCTTTTTTATCTCTTTTGGCATTTCCAGCCAACATTTTCATCTCAATGATTCCCGATACAGCAATAAATGGAACAACTGCTAACAGCAAGAGAGTCAGTTGCCAACCGTAGATAAAGGAGATGATGATGCCAGTTCCGAGGTTTGCTGTGTTCTGGGTGATCAGAGCCAGCCTGGTGCCTACGGCCTAGAAGACAGATGGACGGCGCTGAGGTGCACGGAGCCTGGGCTGCGTGGCTGCTGAGACAACTGCGCAGCCCAGGCCTCTTGGTGAGCAGGGTGCCCAGCTTCACGGCTGGGCTGCTTCCACCCTCTCTGCGATGACCCGCGAAGCCCACAGGTTTGTGTCGCTGAGCCTTTAGCTCTCGTCCCTCTGCTGCCCGCGGAGCTCGTGGCAGAACCCGCCCGAGGGGGCTCTGCTCTGTGCGCGGCGCGGGGCAGCACACACACGTGCTCATGGACAGTTTGAGGAGGAAACCGATGCCACCATGCTCCCCTGACCTTAAAGAGCATTTAGTGCTCCAAACGTGGAGATGGAAACTGACCCCTCCAAGGCCAGGCCACAGTGTCCTCAGCCCGCGACATCACCACAGAGCACACTGTTCAGAAAGGCGGAGCCACTGTGCAGAAGCAGCAGAGTCCGAGCCCAGGGCAGGCGCGCTGGCCAGGCACAGCCTCCCCCGGACAGCGACTGGCTCAGGGCTGGGTGCGCGGCTCGTGTCTGGCGGTTGAGGTGCAGGCGTGTGCCCTCTGCCGCTGATGGGAAACAGAGAAGCTTGTGCCTGTAATCACGCCCAGTGCCAGCCTACACCCACGAGGGATGAAGCCAGGCCCGGGGGGCGCTCGGCCACATGGGGGAGGGGCCTGGGGGCTGGAGCACATTTTGGAGCACGTGCGTCCGTCACTGGATCCCGAAGTTTAACCTTTGTCTTACTGTTGAAGCCAATTTGAACCGGGCTCTCTACTCTTTCCAGCTGAGCATCCTAACAGATACAGCTATTCTACAGACTTGTTTTAAAGGAAGAGACCAGTAGAGTGCAGTGTACACACCCCCTGGACTTGGGCGGCATCCGTGGCAAGTCTTGTGGAAAGTGCACCGGTGCTGTTTCCATGATCATCAAACCAGCTCACGTCCTGCAGTACAAAACGCAACTTAAAATTAGCTCCAAACGAGAGCAAGCTGTGCGGGAGCCCGCTCCCCTCCTCTCCTGGGCTGCCTACGGGACGACCAGCTTTACTTTCCTTCTGTAACAGATTTTCCAATGAAAACTTCTGACTACAAATGCTACTGCCTTTTAATTTCCGTAATTGCTGAAACAAAAACCCACGCCAGCCACCTGCTTTGTACAAAGGCACCCGGAGTCACCGTGTCTCGTGGATGCAGACACTGTGGGCTGAGAAACGGCTGCTGGAATCGGGCCACTTCCCCGGAAACTCGCAGGAGCCAGGTGTGGAAGGACCGAGCCAGCCTGGAGGGCGCCGCTCAGACTCCCTGGAGGAAGCCGCACGGCAGACGCCACAGGACAGGAAGTGGCTTTGAGAGAAAGAAACGGAGACCCGCAGGCCGCGCGCACCTGTCTCAGCATGGCCTCGAAAGCCCGTGACCGCAGCCTCGAGGTGAGGATCTCTCCGGCCTTCCCAAAGGTGAAGCCCTGGGCGAGAAAAGCAGGCTCTCGTTGCCAGTCCTGACACAGCGCGCGCTCCCACTGGCTTCAGGCTCTGCACGCGAGCCAACCACTGCAGTAACAAGGCCCGGGACGGAGTCCACCCCAGGCCCGCCTCGCACGGATGCGCCCCGACGTCCCTAGTGCAGGGCAGAAGGAATAAGACGGAAAACTGAAGCTCTTCGGTTTGGGCTTCGGAACCATTCTGAGTAGGTTCATCGTGGAGCACCGCCAAGGTCCGCGTCTCAGGCACCAAGACACCGCGTTTAACGACAGTGAGTTGCAAGAAGTCGCTGGGCTCTGTGCGGGGGATGAGGAGGGGCGCCTTCCGAGAAGTCCCGCTCCGTTTCTGGCACCGCCCACTGCTCTCGGCTGGAGAGCAAGGGGCTGCTCTTCCCCCCCAAGCCTCCCTGCCTGCCAACCCCTCTCCTGGCCTGTTGGGAGAAGCACAGCCCCGCTGCTCTCTCCGCTGCACACGGCCCACGCTCTGCCAGGCAGCAGCTGCTGGTCCCACACCCACAAACACCGCCCCCTGACCTGCCAAGCCCAGGGCGGGCCTGACTGGTCCTCGCCGTGTGGAGCGAAGCCACGACTTCTAAGTGGAAAGCTCAGCTTACTGTACACGGGCTCAGCAGTGATGAAAGTAGTGCAGCTGGGCACGACCAGGAAACAGTATTTTTGCTGACTGAATAAGAGGACTTCGTGATGGCCATGGGATAAACAAAGCAAAAGAAATCTGATAAAAGTCTACTTAGGTAGGAAAGAACAACTGGAACAAGTTTAACTAGCTTTGTTTGGGCAGCTCTGCAAAGCTGAAAACAAAATGTGTGTTCTTTCCAACAGTTCATCAATGGGGGGGTGGTGGGGTGGGGGTCCCTAGCGCCACAGTTGAAGCAAACCAGAGAGAGCTGCGTGCTGCACCTCCCGGTGTGCAGCCAGCGCGTCTCAGTGGGCAGCTGGCCCCCAGTGCTGCCCCTCCTCCTCGGAGACACTCCTGCCGCAGGGGGTCTTGCACCCTGGGACAGCAGGGCCCCAGCAATCCTGCAACAGAGTCTGACCTCTGTCTCTGCAGCTCAGGCTTCCAACGCTCCCTTGGGTCCTAATTTCCCCTAACTGAACTGCGGACTGCTGAGAAGGGCAGGTCACGGGCACTTACCTGAAGGAAAAAAGTGAAGAAAGAAATAATCCCCAGGGCCAGGAAGAGCAGAGAGAACATGTTGCACTTGTGCTGCTTCACCGCGTCATCCCCTGGCCCGAAAATCTGCGGAAGAATTTCGCAAAGCCCAGCTGGTTCACTCCTCCCATCCTTGCTGATTCCTCCAGGAAACAATGGCTTGAGGGTCACTTTTGTTTTTTGGTACCGGGATCGAACACGGGACCTTTCGCTGGCGAGGCAGGTGGTGTAACCACTGAGCTACATCCCGAGCCCGAGGGTCACATTTTTAAAGCGAGTACTCACCATGAGCCAGTCGCTCCTACATGTTTTCCACATAGTTATCTCTACACCTCTTAATCCTCCGCTTCCTAGCAGCCAGGGTCACCTCGTAGATGAGGAAACTGAGATACAGAGAGGGAATGCACCCTGCCTGCTCGCCCACACACTCGGTGGTGAGGCCAGGCTGTGCTCAGAGACTGGGCTGGTTGCATGCTCTGCCTGGAACGCTCCAGCTGCTCCAGCATCCTGCCTCCGCTGGGACATCATCAGCAGCTCTCCACAGATGAGGGCCACAGCCTCACCCAGTTGGAGCAACAGAAGAGAGCCACTTAGAAAGCTTCCTCCCTGATTCTACACTGTATATCCTCACTGACGCCAGAACTCGGAACAGCTCAAAGGCTACTTCCCCTTTCCCTTACATCTTACCTCAGAAGGAACTAGGGGGGCCGGGGATTTAGCTCAGTGGTTCCAGCGCCTGCCTTGCAAGAGCAAGGTCCCAAGTTTGATCCCCGGTACCAAAAGAAAAAAAAAGAAGGAAGTAGGGACTTCGGCATAGTTTAATTTGAGCTGCTTAACCCCAGGATGGAGGAAGCTGGGCAGGGTCTGATAAGAAACAGCTGAGGGACTGATTTAATTCAAACTGTTACACAGTGTTTCCAAACTCACTGCGAGCATCTCGGAAAATATGATGGAAAATGCTGGCTGCAGTGCCCCATTGGCAATGGCGCAGGCTGTACCCACCACAAGGTAAGGCCATTCGGCTTTATTGAGTTTCAGGACCTTCAGAAAAGACACTGGTGGCACATCTGCATCCTAAAAACACATAAAACCAGGACAAGCTGGTGATGGCACGACAGTTACTGGTTTGCAGACACAGAAAGGGCTTGAGCTCTGGCCTCTAGAACGAGCTGCAGAGCCCCAGAGAGCAGGGTGGCCTGTCACACAGCTTGGTGATGCCCCGAGGACTCAGCCCAGGCCGGCAAGGCTGTCCACCCGGAGGCATCTTTGGCCTCCGCTCCAGCCTCAGCAGAAGAAGAGGTGGCCAGGTCTGGGCACAAGCTGCCCTGGAGTCCAGTCCTGACACTGGAGGGTCACAACTTGGACTCGTGTGACAGTGGTGGCGGGGCCACGTAAGCTGGGTTGTCCTTCCCTTGTCATGGTGGAAAGATGCAGCCCTGCCTCTCTCGCAGGGGTGACACCAGGGTCCGAGGAGACAGTGCATGTGACAGATGCACAGTGTCCTCCTCGACACCCAAGAACCTCATCTCGGCCTCCTTGCCCCAGAATTCTGCCAGTGCTGCCTTTTCTGATGTGCTGCCAACTTGAAAAACCATACTGATGACTCCCTTTTTCTTTCCTCACTCTTCCCTGAGCAGGCTTCTCTTGTGATTTTGTTGTGTGTTTTTTTTTTTAAAGAAGAAGACTATGTCTTTATATTCTTCGAAATGAATCCACTTCCTAGCACATATCAGACTCTTGACAAATGCTGAACTATGTGTCTGGTCAAGCATGAAGGACGTGGGTCTCATGAAGAGGCATATTCTGACTACAGAGGCAGTTTAGCTTCGCACTGGAGGTGGATGTGGAACCCATAGGCATGAGGCAATGTAGGTCATATCTGTGCCTATGAAACAGAGAACACAGAAGTAGGTTCCACTCAGCCCTCTTCTTTCAGACTAACCTAATTTGCTTTGTACTGGAGGAGTTTCTCCTTCTCAGCTAGCATTATCTGAAGTCCTGTCTCCAGGGCACTAAGTAGGCTTCTTCCTCAGAGCACTTCTCTTCGGCACATACACAGGTCCCCATCCTCTGCTTAGACTTCCACACTCCCTGAAGGCATCGATGGCCATCGGGGTCAGTTATGATCAACAGTTCCCAAGTAAAAGCTCTGGGTGGGTGGGACTGCTGGGAAGTCCCTACTCTTCCTGCTGCGTGGAGCACAGATATGGTAGTGAGAGCTGCAGGTGCAGTCTTGGGTGCAGTGTGACCTTGTGGTTGGGAGCTGTGTGCCAACAGTGAAAACGATCAGGAAAGGAACTTGCATCCCTGCTAACTAAGCAGCCACCACTCTAGACCTGAACTTCTTACCTCTCATAATTTTTATGTGAAGGAGAAATAAAACCTCTCAATTTGCTTAAGCCAATGCTGTTCTGGGTTTCCTAGTACAGGCAATCCAAGGTCATCCTGTCTACTAGAGTATATCGACATCGGGACATTTCATTTTGGACTGCCCTGTAGACCTCAGAGATGAATGGGACATTTAATTTTTATATTAAGCACATTAGCACAAAGAGTACATTTTGGATCTATTTGGAACATTGGAAAGCCATTTTAGTTGGAATTTATTTTAATTTACTGTCAAGTACATTTTAAATTAGAAATTTTCGTGTGTGCACGGACGCACGCGTGCGTGTGTGTGTGTGTGTGTGTGTGTTGGAGATGGAATGCAGGCCCTTACACAGACTAGGCAAGCACTTTGCCACTGAGCTACACCCCAGCCCAGAATTTCCTTTTTGTTATTTTTTTTAAAGAATATGGCTCATAGTAGGAATAATCTATGCCTGAAAATTATGTGCAAGGCCAAGAATTTCAATAGCAAAACTATAAAATAAGAGACATAATTTAAGTGGAAAAAGAACTTACAAGTTCATTGGGTTCTCCATCAAGGCCATTATGATTCATTTGTGAATTTTTATGGCTTTTACTAGTAGAATTCCTAAATATGGGAGATTTCCAGCCATTTGAGGTCATACCAGGAGCAGCCTTCTCTTCATTTAGTTCCAGTTCAGACTGGATCTGGTTTCCTGATGTCTGAAAGAAAAACAAAATGTTAAATTGTGCAGATGTGTCCTTTAAAATCACAAAGCAATTTTGAATGTTGCATGTGTCAAGATTTTTAGATTTCATAACAGCTTTCGGTCAAGATTAGCTGGAAAATTATAAAGTCCACCAACCCACAAAAGTAAAAAAGGTTGAAAATGACAGAAAGTTTCTTTCCAATTTGAACAATATGAGAACTAAAGTATGTGAGAGCTTTCTGAAATGTAAAGACAAATTTCCATCACCCAGCAGGAGTTTGCTCACTATTTGAGAATCCAGAGAACAAGTCATGAGCACCACGAAAAGAAGAAGAAGAAATAGAAACATTAGCGAAGTTCGAACACAGGAGGCTGAGTTAAAGGCTCGGTCAGCACCCACGGCGATGGTGAAGGCTGCTCTCCTCACCTGCTGTGCACTCTTCCCCGGACTCATACCTCACCCCAGGTGAGCCCACCTGCACGTCAGCCCTGTGACAGAATCTTCTGACTCCCCCTTCAGGTTCTGCTGCAAACTCAGCCGATGGCTGCTGCCTTATGCACGTATGGTAGCTTGTGTATGTTCATCGCCACATGCTGTCTCGTCAGCTTTCCAGCTGAACTTTCAGCACCTACGAGAATACTGCCCGCGGGCTGACGTATTGCCTTGAACCACATGAATATGCTTTGCTTGGTGGACTTTCTTACTTACTCATTATTAAAATGATTTTATGCTATCTCCCAACCTAGGCTAAAGGCTTAGACAACTAACTGATTCTTTCCATTTTTACTTCCATCTATTCTCACACTGCTACTAGATTCATTTTCCTAAAGGGCAGCTCAAAAACAATTCGCACTTTCCTGTCATCTGCTCAGGCTGGAAGCTGCAAAAATCTAACTCATGCAAGTCAAACTGGACCATCTCTCTTGAATGCCTCCTCTTATCTTTTCCTCTTTCTATAATCTCATCCATGCTATCAAGGATCCACCTCAACTGGCAGTTCTTTAGTAAGCCCATTCAGATCTTAGCTTCCTTTTACGACCAATGAACATTCTGTCCCTCAATACATTTTGTACCTTATCTAAGGTACTCATTCAGTTGGTATTGGGCACTTTAGCAGAGAGGTCGTTAAACTTCAAATTTAAGACGTCACTTTTCACCAGGTGATAAAAAGCATACATTTACAACCAATAGCCCTCATTTCTTACACTCGAATATACTTTAACTGGCTTAAAGTTTTAATCGTAAAATTGTAAAACAATCAATGCTGAAAGGAAATATGGGTGAATATCTTTTATAATAACAGCCTCAAATACGAAAACAATTGATAATCTAATTTTATAAAATTTTAAAGCTTTTTTATGGCAGCCAATCAACAGAGTGAAACTGGGTGGAACAAAACAAAACAAAAAAATCTTTTCAACATGTGCAACAGAAGAGTGTTTTCTTTTTATACAGAGAGTTTCTATAAATCAATAAGAATATTATGAGGAACACAATAGAACAATGGCCTAATACAGGAAAAAATACATACAGAGATGAAAACAACACAAGTGCCACTGAACATGTGAAAAGTTGCCCAATCTCTTGAATAATTAAAGGAATTTTAAGATACTTTTTAACTCTTGCAGGCTCACAAGATGAAGAGTAAATGTTTTTTTTCCCCATTAACTTTACTGGTACATTTTAGGTATAAAATACAGTTACATTCATCATTGGGATCTTGTACCATTACATGAGTCTCTTGGTTCTT